ATGCTACCACATCATCTTACATTGATATCATTCATATTCAGTAACCCTACCTTGATTGGCTCACGAGCGTTGGATCGGGTGTAACTTGAAATAATATATTCCTGATTTTGTCTCTTGCAATATCTTTTCTTATGGGTATAAGCCTCTACCTTCTTTTCTTTTACTCCACGCCTTTGTTTTTTTTTGTTTTGTTTTTTTGTTTTTTGTTTTTTTTTGTTTATACTCATATCGTAATATCGTAATCTGCTTCTATTCTACAGTTTATATTTCCTTTCATTCTTTTGGTTTTACTTTTAAACGTTTCTTACTAAGTTTCCTCCCTGCTTCTAATTTCATACATTCCTTTCTGGAGTTTAAATTTCTACTAATGTCTTTTTTCGCTTTAATTCTTACTGATATCCTTCATCCCTTCCCTTCTTGATTTTCGTTCCTTCCTCAATGTCATTCTATCATTTCCTTCCTTCTGTTCTTTCCTTTCTTCTTTGGTTTTCTTTCCTTGCTACCAATATCCTTCTTTCAATATTTCCCTTACTTTTTCTTTGCCACCATTTGTTGCTAACGGATATCATTCCCATCGTCCCATTGTCTTCTTTCCTCGTTTTCATATTATTGTCTTCCTTTGTTCCTTTTTTTTATTGAATGATAACATTCCGTTCTTAATTTTCTTTCATATCGTGTCCATTCCTTTTATAGTGATATCCTTTCTTAAATTATTTTCTTTCTTCATTGCTTTCATCTGTTCATTACTTCCTATTATTATACTTTATTTCCTTGTATCCTACTCTACTTTAGTTTCTTTCTTTTCTTTCTTGTTTCCATTATTTTCTTTCTGGTGTTGTTTCTTTCCTCGGATTCTTTACGTCATTCATTTCATTCTGTCCTTAATAATATCCTTCACATTTTCTCTCTTTTATTTTCATTCTTTCCTTTATTTTTTACTCTCATCGTTTCCTGTGGCTTATTCTTTCCTTCCTCATATCACATCCTTCCTTTAATTACATATTTTCCTTCTTCAGTTTCTGTCCTTCGTTCCTTGCTTCTATTCTGTCATTATTGATTTAATTTTCTTTTCTATATTCTTTCTTTTATTCCTTGCTTTCATCGTCTCTTTACTGATATCTTTCATTTCTTTTACTCTTTTTAATTCCCTTTCTCATTCAGTTAACAACCCAAATATTCTTTCTTTTCTTATATCCTTTCTTTTTCTGTTTCTTTTCTTTCCTATTTTCATTATTTTATTTCTGATATATCAGATTCTAATGTCCTTCATTACTTTCATTCTTTCCTTACTAATATCCTTCCAGCCTTCTCTTCTTCATTTTCCTTGCTTTTTCACTTATTTCCTTTCCTTACTGATGTTCTTTCCGTCTTTCAATGTTTTCTCTTTTTCAGAGCTTTTTATACTTTCCTTTCCTTCCTTTCTTCTTTTTATTCCTTACTGATCCTTTTTCTTTCCTTCGTGTCTCCCAATTATTCATTACGTCTATCCTTTCATGGTTATTATCCTTTCCTTATAGAGTTTCCTTCCTTGCTTCCTGGTTTTGATTATTCCTTTACTTTTATTCCTTCAGTTTCCTTACTCTGCTTTCATTCTTTCCTTACTAACATGCTTTCTTTCCTCATTCCCTTTCTCTCTTTCTTTATTTTAATTCTCTCCTTACTGATCGCTTTTCCTTCCACAATGTCTACTGTTTATTACTTGTGTTTATCCTTTCCTTGTTGATATCCTTTTCTAATACAGTTTCTTTCTTGTTTTCATTCTTTACTGATAGTCATTCCTATTTCAATTTCTACAATTTCTTTTTTGATTTCACTCTTTCCTTACAGATATCATTCACGTCTTTCTTTCTTACTTTATTGCTTTATTCATTTATTTATTTTGTTTTTGCTGCCTTTCCAGACATTTGTTGGTGATTTCTTTCCAAACCTCTTGTCAGATTTCGAAGTAGCGTTGATCTATGTGACCTAAAATAAAAAAATACCTGTGAAAAACCCTTTCTTTCGCTCCGTTCACGATTTTCTTTTGAGTGGTTTGTTATCCGATCATTTTGTTGTTTGTTGTTGATAAGAATACGTAGATTATCGTATGTATTTTTTTTTTTTTTTTTTTTTCATGGTAGGTTTTCTGTTTTATCTATGGAGCGAGAAAAAAAAATCCGATTTGTTAAAAATAGTAGAAAATATACAAGGACGTAGTTTGAAGGCAGATAAACAACAACAAAAAAGGGGGGGGAAACGAAAAAGTTCTTCTGGCAGCATAAAAGAGCGGGAAATACAGAAAAAGAGAGAGAAAAATGTAAGATAGAAAGGCAGAAAACGAAAACGAGGTTGTTCTGAAGAGGGAATGAAATCATAAAGTAAATGGATTTCATAGAAATAAGGAGAAAATAGAAGGTTTGGGAAAAAAAAAAAAAGGTTATCTAATCATAATCTATAAGTGAGCGAGGTTCACGGCGATTATAATACAGGTGTCTCCACGCGCCTCTCACAGGAAATCTGTACGCATTTTGTTTATTAAATGCAACTCTGGCTATTGCTTGGATGCTTATAAATCGTTCCCGTCAAAACGGATAAATGTTACGATCGATCATACGAAACAAAACGCATTTGGTGTTCATGTTTACATTATCCGTTCTTTTAATTGTTCAAAATATCGTCCATTCAACAACGCATATTTGTTGCAAATATCAACTAACAAATTAGCTCCAATAGATGTACAGGAAATACATTTGTTATAGATTTAATTTTTTATCATGAAAGGGTTTAATTGATTTTCGATTCAAAGTATAGCTTATATAGACCGAGAGACATTTTCAAATACAAAACAACACATCGTGAGTAATTGTGTGACAATGGATGATAGTATATGTATGTATAGCAGGCCATTCGTATTCATGGATATCCGTTTTCGATGGCGGCTAGCCAATCCCTATTGCAGACGCTTGCTCAGGCGCATTTGTGTTTATTCACATAGCCCACCTGTGGTTTATACCTTAGTTACTGTTTCTGGGAAAGAGCGTGTTATCGAGCGTGATCAGCAAAATATCAAGGCTCCCGTCAACCCAGTCTCACTCACAACGCTTTGGTCAACCCCTTGATATGGTTTTCAAGCACGCTGGGATCTAGTAACCTTGCTGACAAATCGGCCATGGTGAGACTCAAACCCTGGTCTTATGATCAGAATACGAACGTTCTAACCACTCGGCTACGTGTCTATGATAACAATAATTATATTAAATAATATAATACTGAATAATATAATGATAGTAAATATATTAGGTAAAAATAATAACATTAAGTAATAAAGAATATTGGATAATTCTTCAGTTTATTGGTTATTTTTTTATAAATATATTTGATAAATCGTATTAGATAATGAATTATATGAAAGGTATTTGATTGGTTCATTTTCTAGGGCTTATTAAACCTCCCTTGTCATTTAAAAACACAAAATATTTTTAGATTGTAATATTTTTTGGGGGGGGCGGCTATATAATTATTTAGTGATACAAGTCTTACCAATAAAGTCATAGCTGGGAGAGAAAAAATAGATTGATATCGTTCACAAGAGTATTTGCGCGTAAGTGAATATAACGAACCCAATTGGAATTGGAACTCTGCTCTCCAATCGAATCCATTACATTCACTTAGGTGCTAATACCCTTCGGAAAGATATGAATCGGCTTCTTCTCCACTCCACCACAAAACCACCCCCCCCCTGTCTCCAACTGGGGGTAACTAGGAGGACAGAACGGGTTCTATAGCCCTGGATGGCAATTGGTCTACCGCAGAAAGAAATGACCATCTACTGCGGGAAAAAAATCTGCCTCGTCAGTCGTGTATCGAAAGACACATGATAAACGCACTGAATCCATCAATTTTGAAATATTTCCTTAAGATTGTGAAAGACTTCAGAATGAAAATGGAGAAATGCTTCGACTTTTTGTAAATAAACATGAAAAACCGAAGACTCCCGAGTACAATTAATCAATGAAACACAAAGACTAGCTGTATGCATTTTAAGGAACACAAAGATTGTCCCCAAAACTTTCTCGTTGCTCAGATGCTCAAGACTCCTCTTCATTTGAGAGAGCATTTTCCAGCATTGATTAACATAAACGATGATTGATATTAGAAGTTTATCATTGTTATGATAACATTTTTCTATTTCTTAATACTTTATTTAGCTTTTGGAAGGCATCTTTCTCGATTACAATAAGCTTTACAACGAAGTAGAAAAAACTAGCCAGCGAAAAATTCAGATTTGAAAAAATAAAGTTGTAGAACAATGAAGAGAGCGGTTTGTAAGTGGGGGGGGAGATAGAGAAGCAGATAGATAGATAGATAGATAGATAGATAGATAGATAGATAGATAGATAGATAGATATGGTTTAGTTGCGTGGTTGATTTTGTTTAGCGGCGTATCTATGTCTATGGGTTATTCAATGCCGAAATCTTGAACGAAATTTTGAAGGCATTTGTATGCCTTCAACTACAGATAAAATGTGTTGTTGGTAATTTTAATATCAATAGGTGCTGGTAATTTTTTATATATATAAAAATATATTGCTTGTATTTTTATTTTTTTTATTTTTTCATTTTTTGTTGTTGGTACAACAGCAATTAAGGAGTGGTTCCATGCTCCGCAAAATCTCCAATCTCCCGATCAGCTGCCATGCTGCCGGGTGTAGTTGATCGTCATACCCAGGACTATTAAAGAAAGGTTAACGTACTGTATTGGGTTGGTACATAATTATCAGGCGTTTTTGTAGGCGAGTTATTTGTTAATAAAAAGTGCTGTTTTGTTTACTTTTTTAAATAAAAATATTATTTTATTTTCAGGTAATAAAAATGCGTGTCGATAATCATAAGCCCCGGATTAATTATTTAAAAATCTTATTGTTGAATTGTTTATGTTTCGTTTTTCCTAATAAGTAAACGCTTGATAATTATGCACCAACTCAATATGAATTGGATGATTCGAAAATAAAAATACAAAAATATCTAATTAAACAGAATGTGTGGGAAGTTTAACAGTTATCGGTGTGAAAAATGGATTCGGCAAGCCGAGTTCGAATTTTGTTATGGTCTGCTGTACTAAATTAGCATAAAAACCTTACAGAAGGCATGAATCTATCTCTTCTCCCCACAGATATGGGTTAAATAGAAAAATGAACTGTGGCGACCAATTTAAGTGAAGGGCAGTTCTGAATTCAAAACCGTGGACATGGCAACGGGAAACCTCTCCAATTTCTTCCCAAAGTCTCAGTAATGCAGAGATAATAAAGAAAAGGAATGTGTGGAGAGCCATAATCGCATACGTCCTAGAGTGACGTGGCATTAAAAGAATCTGATTGATCAGTTTGATTAATAAGTGGTTGAACAAGTAACACAAATACAAAAAGCGTAGTAATGAAAGGAAGACTCTGTAGCTTAAATAGCACTAGGGACTGAATTCTCTAACATTGGCTGGAAGTCTAGGAAAATCACTCTGAGTCCTATACCGTGGAGAAAACATGAAATCCTGGCAATTGACACATATAAAAACGGATTGTGCTGAGCTACGGTCGCCTACATGCTAAACACAGTTCATTGAACACTAGTATATCTTATTGAATTGACAGTCGAATTTTTTAATTTGTTAATTTTCTACTTATTATTCGTGTTTTCATTTCTGAGCTATTTAGTCATTATCCCTTGGGACTAAACGTTTGCGAGTAACCTCAAACTTCCGGGTCTCTCGTTTAAGGTGACATGCTCACTTCACTGCAGTAGTCGTGTATGTCCTCACAATTCTGCCTCAGATCTTTAAGACTCTCACAAAGTGGATGGTAGGTTTAATAATAATACTGTCAATATTGATGTAATACAACTGCCGCCTTCCTTAACACGCAGCTGTATAAAAAGTTAAGATCCACTGAAGTGGTATCAAAGTTGGACGTGTAATACGAGATTTGGTAACGAGATTATCAATTTATGAGACGAGATCATCTACGAGATTGCTCACCAGGCAGATCACCTACGCAAGACGCGTATAAATTTATTGGTTTGGTTATAAGAATTTATACTCATTTATTAGTTTAATATTTACTAAGATTAATTTAAGCCAACACAAGGACACTATAACAAAGTAATCTGTGTGATTAATCATTTAATTAATATTCTACAGTAGGTTAAGGGGCTTACAGGTTACTCCTGACTATTTCCAGTAAAATCTCATCGCCATTAAAGACAACTATTCAGGAATTTACATAAATCTGACACTATTTCTCTCTGTCTGTCTTTCCTTCGATTTCTTCTTTTTTTATCCAAAATGAAAAATTATACAAAAGGTATAAAGCAAAAATCCAAATGATCACATATCTCAATTTATTCAACAAAAAATTCTTTTTTAAAAAAAAATTCCATGATTTACGTTCTTCAATTTATTTATTTTTTTAGGAATTTTGTAAATACATTTACATGAGTTTTAAATCTTAATTAATGGAACCTCTAAAAGAATAAGAATTTAGGGATAATGTATGACTTGATGCTTGTCATTAGCGAATAGTTTAAAATAGTAGGGAATTCAGCTCGCAATGGATGAAAAAAAATTAAAAAATTATATTAAACCAGTTCGATATTTAGAAAAGGAAGAGCGATACTTGCATCCATTTCAATTTATATCTTCCTATCTCTTTGTCTCTGGATATTTCTGTTCAATTTCGTATCTATCTATCTATCTATCTATCTATCTATCTATCTATCTATCTATCTATCTATCTATCTATCTATCTGTCAGATTTTATTATGCGAGTCAGTGTATACCCAATAAAATTTGAATTGGCTTACGGCTGTTAGGAAGATTTTCAATGTATATTTATACATATATGCACCATAAACCGTTTGACATTCAGCTTATAATATCTATCCTTATCTGAAAAAAATGATAATAACTTGTTGTGGGGTGTCAAGTGGTTTTATTATGAAACAAGGTGCAACATATTTTATTTATAAATAACTTCAAAAGGTAAAAGCCACAGAAAGACGATTAGAGAGGATTAACAGGATATCTGAAGAAGTAATTTAATTATTTTGAAGATCAACGTGGGTTGGTATTCTCTAATATTCTTCAGTATTTAATCGATGATATTTTTTAAAACTTTTCTATTCTTTCAATTTTGATATTACTTGCAGCAGTTTTTCATTGTTTCCCAAACACATTAATTGCTTGAATATTATTTTCCATGCTCATATCTCGAAAGCTTGGCAACCATTTAATAATTTCGATGATTTTTTAAAATCATTTTTGCTGAGATGAAAAAGAACAGTTTTTCTTTTATACAGAGAGCGATAGTAGAAATTTCTAGGGCACATAATGAGGAAAGGGGGCTTGGAGAATTTGACACTGACAAGATTGAAAGCAAGAGAGACAGAGAGACAGATTATAGCAGCACATAACCTACATAACGAACTGGTGTAATTGGTTGGAAGAACGGGGATTAGGAGAGATCGCAACAA